CTGCTTCCTAGCTCTGAGTTGCTGGAAAGAGGCTGATTTTCCATATTAGATGTGCCACACCTTTCTAAAGAGCTTAGCGAGACCAGTTACAGGAAGTGTGTGCCTTTGCATGCATCGACTCAAAGTACAGTGTATAAAAAATGAGAAAAGTTTATTGCAATTTTATAAAATTGAAATAAAAATATAAGTAAAAATTTATTTAATCAGAATGATTAAACATTGTCCCCAAAAACACTGAATGGAGAAAGCCAAAAGGCCAGAAAAACAGCCATCATGCAAATACGTCAGGCAATAAAGTATCATCTCCTCTCAACAAAAATCCAGTAAGAAGGAACGTGTATTCCTGGACACAAGCGTTTTCTACATAATTCACCAAAAAGTGTCTTAGAAACATGTTTCAGGTGAAAAGATCACAAACCTCTGAATGTATCAGAAATAAGCCAGTTGACAGAAAATATTGGGAAATTAAGTGAGATATACTCGTATTAGAAACTTGAGCCGTTACTGCAATTTGCTATTTACTGCAGCATCCTAAACTCACTCATTTAATACGCTGAAGTGTTGCAGCACAGAATTATTTGCCTTACTTCTTTGCGCTCTTTCAAGTCAATCCTTGCACCAGTAAGATGATCAACCATGTATATATTTAGCAAAGTCTTTGGGGTCCAATCAAACTACCCTTACTTAATGAACACTCTAATTTAAATCAATGGAAGTTTAATTAAGTTTTACTCAATTAATCTGGCTTTAAATAAAACTTTCTAACAAAAATATAAGCCTGCCAGAAATTCATTCATAAAACCTGACACCAGTGCGTTTGTTATTATAGACTTCTCATATTTATTTTCCTGTGGTAACATGGATTACTACTTGAAGCAGTTTAAAGAGACACACAATTTAAGGACATCTATTTAAATTTCTTTAATTTTGTGCTGCCAGCTTTAAGATCTTCATTTAAAAACAAACAGTAATTTGCTACAAATGTCTACCTGAATGAATGGCGTTTTAGCAATAGGGGAAGCAAGAGAAGGGACTACACCGAATTTCTGGGCAGAACACATTGAAAACGGCTTTCTGCAGAGCCTGCCCAGCGCTGCCCGCATCCCGGCAGCCCGTGACAGGCAGCCTGCCTGCCTCGCATTAATTCACTCCACAGCGCTCCGATCGATCCCGGGCAGCTCCCAGCCGCCCCGCGCTGCCTGCCTGCCGGCTCCATCCGCATCCCACACGCACACAAAGGCTGGGGCAAGATAACCTTCTGCTTCCCGTTAAAGCCATAGTAGCCATTTTTCTGTCTGCAGCAACATCACGGATTTCAAAACATATCTGTCCCTCCAGGGCTTGGTGGACAGACCCGCCACCAAGTGCGTCCCATGGCACAGAGCCCCAAAACGGTGCCTTCAGGGTTTGAAGAAAACATTTACACTGACCAAGGTAAAATAAATGAGCAAGAGAAACAAAACAGAAACGTAATATTCAGCAAAGAAGTCCCTTTAGGAAGGGAATTCCTTCTGCAGAATCCATCTGACACTGAAGACAGCCCTTGCAGGCAGAAAAAGGCAGTGGCATTTGCCCATTTTTGATCTTTGCCTGAAAACACATCCTCGTGGCAAACGCCCCGTGGACTATGCAGCATTTCGGAGACAACCATGTGCTGTGGAAACGAGGGGCAGACAAATATTTACAGTCGCACGGCATAATCTGAGCAGATACAAGATGAAGCTTTGAAAGCTTAACTGTTTTCCTTCCCGTGGGAGCCTGAAAAACACCAGCACCTGCAACACCTCTCACAGGTTTAATTCACAGCCTCACTTACACATCTATTCCCGTCTGATGTGGGGTCAATAAGCCGACATGCCAATTTTGGATTTGAAGGCCCAAATAAAACAAAGATTTATTGCTCCCCCTACAAGGCGCTGGGAAACGAAGCCTAACGTGGCCCAACGCCCGAACGGCAGCTCGCCCGACGCAGAAGCCCGGCAGGCAGCTGCAGGCGCGCTGCTCGGAGCGGGGACGGCCGAGCGGGCCCGCTGGAGCAGGCCGCCGCAGCACAAGCTGGGGGAGTGCTGGGAGACCCCCCAAGAGACAGTGAGATCTGCCTGGCTTTCTCCCCGCTCCTCCACCCCACCATCTAAGGGGGACAGTAATCTCTCTCGCATCAGTTAAAAGATGATTCAGAGATAACCCCGTGCAAGTTCATCTGTCTTTCAAGTCCCCTGAACACATTTTATCAAAGCGCTGGAGACGTGCCAGTCGCTCGGTCTGCGCCAGTAAGGTCATGTCCCAGAATTACTATTGGATCCGAGCCCCGAATACACTAACGGGGAGAAGATTTCATCTCTGTTTGCTAGGGCTGCACACTTGATTCATTCAAGAGCCAATTAAATGCATAGGACAAAGTATCTTCCATCAGCAGCAAGCTTCTAGTAGCGATTACCGCTTGTTTTAATTAAACCAAACCTGCCAACGTGTAAGAGAAGGACTGTTTCTACATCATGCATGCAAGAACTACTGCAGAGTAATAACATATGCTGGACACAAAAATAGGCTGGTAATAATTTATGCCCCTATATCAAGAGGCAAAACTGGGAGAAGTGGAGGATGAAAGAATCAAAGGAATATTTCTTTATTTCTTCTCCTTACCTTTCTAGCATAAAACACTACTTTTCAGAAGTCCATTGCATCCATTTTGACCATTCTAAGTAATTCCTATCCCCTTCAATTCCTCCCCAGGTTTTAAAAAACACATGTAATTTTTAAATTATGTCTGACAATCTAACTGATAGACACATTTTACTCTTCCCCACAACACCAACATTTGTAGCTCCTTATTTTGTTTCTCGCTTCTGATACCCTAATTCTTATTCTTCTTCAGAGCGCCAGCATCTTCGTGTACCTTCGCACAGGCAGCAACACTATGAAATGCCTTCTCAGCCCTGTCATTCAGAAGAACCACAAACTCTGTAACCTTAATTCACAGTTTTCAACACTGTTAATATAAAAAAAATAATTCCAATTTGCTAGTCGCGACCTGTTTGAAAGGTTTTCAATGTCAGTGCCTTCACAATATTGAACATTTATATTCAAGTCATTCATTCAGCCATGCTCAGCTGATTTCTCTATTTTATATTTTCTCCCTGTGTTTTAAAACTTCCCTGTTTTGATAGATAAGCACATCCTAATTTAGCATAAAACAAGTGCTGTGCTTTGATTTGCTCATGACTAACAGAGGCCAAAATACTGCTGTGTGCATACTTGAGTTGAAGGCATACAAAATACTCAAATTTTCTGTTAAACCAGTCAGTCAGTCCCAGGCTATGGCTACAGAAGTGCATGCCACGCTTCTAACCCGAGCACAAAGATAAGCACAAGAGGCAAAACAAAATATTATGCTTCCGGCTGATGCATGTGTAAAACACAACTGCATGTACTTCTCTAAACAATCACACTGGAAAGCTTTAAAGTACTGACAAGTACCAGAAATAGCAAATTACTGAAGCTAATATAAATTACTGGTTGGTTTCAAGTGCGTTAAAAAGAAGTTCCTTTTTTGGAATAGTCAACTGGCCAAAGCAGGCACAGAGTGGTTTATATACACTTCACCAACACAATTACGTCCGCAACCCTGTACCCAACAAGGTCGTTCAGGATGACTCCAGAGAAAAGACATTAGTAACCATCAGCAGTTGCTACAGCTGCTACTCCTGAGAGTGAAGGGACACTAAGGCTGTATTCTACGAACTGAGTACAACTGACCTCAGAAAATGAGCAATTAAAAATACATCCTAACACTCAAAATGGCAGAAATACCTATCAACACGAGTCAAGGCTCTTCGGCATGGATACACAACGTACCTCCACTTATTATTCACTGCTCGGCTGCACATCTAACTGTGCAACAACATCCCCGTAATAAGGCAAATGCTACATGGCTGAAGGCTGTCATTAACAGCCGCTTAGTCCCACCAACAAATTCTTAACATCAAAGCACTGTGTTCCGTGGAATTTATGCGCTCAATTTAGATTTAGTAAGATTATTACACACACCTCAAAAATCAATTGGTATTTAATAGAGATCTTTCTCTGAATAGAAACTACATTCTTCAGTGGAAGACGAGCACCTACAACTTCAAAGCAAACATTCTCATGCACGAAAATACAAATTTTTACTGGTTTGTTATATAGGGCAGACGCATCCGGAGATTAGTCTATAAGGCAAGCTTCTAGATGGGTAATCGAACGGAGTATGTCACGATGCTGCCACATCTTCCAAGAATATGATCCTAGAGTCTGAACAACCTCTGCTTTAATAACAATTAATAAAACGAAAACTGGTATTTTGGAGAAAAATACAACCGACTCAACAGTGGTCAGTAGCTACTTAATTTATTTGGAGAATAACCTTTACCCAGTATCTCCTTGCAGCACTGGTAACCAATGGCTTTGAACACCCAGCTGGGCAGGAGTTGCATCCAACGTTTACCAGATGCTGAGGTACATACACTGCACGGCCCTGCATGAGCTCCTCCCAGAACCTTTGGTGCTCTTGGGATGCCAAAGGATCCCTTTACACAATCTCTGTAATTGAATTATACGCTCTTTGGAAAGGATCGCCACTGTTTTACCACCAGTATCTTGTAATTTTATCGGGCCTTTTCACAGCAGGTTTCATCCCTGAACCTCCAAACTACAGCCCAGCCCCTCAAGAGCAGGGGCAGCCTTTGCAAAAGACACTCCGGTCCCAGCGACATGTACGGAAGGGTTTGATTCACCTCATCACCATTAGCGACCTGAAGTGATCTCATCGTTGTGAGATCACTTTGGAAATTTCAAGAAACTTTTCTATTTAACCCTAGGATTTTCCCCTAGATTGGTTGTACTGTTCACAATCTTATGTACAAAACGCCTTTTTTCTTTTCTCTAGCAACCAGGCTCCTTTCGGGTTTAACCCAGCATACTCACGCGATATAACGCTGTCAATGTACTGTGGTAAGTAAGGAGCCCACGCGTCAATGGTTTCTTTCCGACCTGCCTGCTCGATTCTTCTCAGTTCTGCTAGCAGCAAGGCCTGCGCAGCTTCTCTTACCTGCAAAGCCAACAGGAATGTCACACAAACTCAACACCGAATATTTACCAGCATGCTTTCCGTATAATTCAGCAAAAACAAAAAGCACCACTTCAAGAAAAAACTTCTTTTAGAAAAAACCCCTTTTTTCCTCCACCCCTCTCCACCGTAAACACACAAGCAACGTAACATTTGCGCTGATGCACTGAAGGGCCACCAAAACTAGTTCTCTAGAAGCAGTGTGTGATCACCTCTCTCTACAGCATTTCCAAAGCTGGCTCATGAATGTTACAGTGTAAAAGCAGAACAAAACAAAACAACACAATCACTTAATGCTTTTTCACATGAGATTTACTCATTTACTACAGATTACGGAAGGCTGAGCAATCAAAGCACAGGAAAACGTATACAAAAAAAGTTTCCCAAAGTTTAAAAAAAAGTAAAAATCTGAGCTTTTACACCAACAAATACAAAATACTGTCTTGTACTATTTGTCTCCCATCAATAACACTTGTTCCACCTGAAGTGTTCATAAGTATATATGCATAAATACATTATTTTTGGCCTAAAAGATTTAACACACAAGTGATTTGGTCAAGGTGAAATAAAAAATCGCGGGCAAACAGAATATAAACACGCTACCCTGACACCTAAGGATGTCCAGTAACCGGACAATTTCCATTGCTTACAAATCTTAATGAGTTTCAAAGTAATTACCCTCTCAGGAAACCCTCTCACAGTACACCCTATCTGGCAACAGAACAGGCAACCAGGCAGCAAAACACCTATTCCCAGTTAAGTTCCAGGCCTGCTGAGGCCTGGCAGCCTACACCCCAGCTCTGCCACTCCTCTCCTTCTGGAAAAGCTGCACGGTCAACACATTTTTTGCCACAACAGCACAGGTGTAGCGTTAAGGCCCACTAGTCATTTATCAAACAGTTGGGTGACAAACCATTTACCGGCTACTGTACACATGCTCCAAAATATAAACCAACTCAGCAGTCTCTTGAAGAATATAGGGTAGTTTTTTTTAATCCTAATAAGATTCTTAATGGTAACATGGAAGTTTTTAATCCAGCAATTAATTTAAAAAGATATGTACAGCACCCAGAAGGTAAAAACCCCCATATAGATATTTAGACATGATCACTTCAACAGTTTGGCAGGTGAACTGGAAAATTAACTTACTGAATCTAAAGTAAAAACTGCAGGAATCTGTGTCAGATAAGAATGACACATTTTTTTATTTTAAGGGAAAATGTGATCGGTAAAAGACAACGTAAACCCCAAAAAGCCTAGCAGTACAAAATTACTGCTGCAATCACCTCCAAGCATCGATCCTGCCACCTGCGAGCCAGCATCTCCAGCAGAGGAGGTCTGAATTTATCGAGTCCCAGCAGGTCGGGGAGCATCACGCAGTGCATGGCAGCGAGCTGGCTCCACCCTGTTAAAACACATCACAACAGGAAGATAAACACAGTAAACACTGAAGCAGTTTAAATTCAAAATGCCATCAAGTAAATTTACATTGGTCACTGGCCTGGCACCCAGAAGATCTTCAGGAGAAGGTGGGAGAAAGAGGGAGAGAAAAAAATAGAACCAATTTTGCAGGAGAACCACAGAATTGTTTCTTCTGCTGTGGGAACCGGGGGCTCACCCCATCATGGGCTGCACCCCGTCTTTATTGGTTCCAGCTGACCTCAGGGCAGGCTCTACGGCACGTGAGCTGTCTGGCTTGGCCAGGAATGAGCTCTTCCAGGCCGGTCAGATCTCTTAAACACACGCAAGGGTGAAATGAGACATCAGAAGACTGCCTCAAGTCTGTCCTGATTGGACACAGACATCCCTCTTCCTCCCCTGCCCCTCTCAAAAAGACTTCAGTATCGAGCTGTATGCTTGAATTTTAAACTTGCAGCCTTAAGAATATACCCCGCATACATCCTAGATACAAAAAAATCCCCAAAATACTACGGCCATTGAACTCAGAGCCGTGGTTCCGAGTTCAGGATTTAGCAACTCCGTTCAAACCCCAATTAGCGTCACTCATCACGACATTTAACGGCCTACACACAAGTGTGCTATCATGCAATTACAGAAAACTTAGCACATCAACTGCCACTAGAAAGATCACACAGAATTCTCTGTCCCATTTTAAGAGGTCTTTCCATCCAAATCTCCCTTCAACACGCCCACTGCAGGTGCACTCGCACTACAAGCCTGCAGTGTTGTGTAGTTAAAACCAGTAAAGATAAGCGTACCGAGCCCAAACAACACAGATTGTGAAAACGCTTGTAAAGTACTCTAAAGCCAAAGAACTGTTCTAGTATCATGCTCTACATTGACTTAAGAAACTGGAGAAATACTTCAGGTGAGCATATAGATCTGTGTTTTTAGACTGTCAGCAATACCGAGCATAAAAATCTGAGCATTTTAACTAATAAAGCTCTTCATGGTGCTACAAGAAATCACCATGTTAATTTTCCTTAAAGAAAAATGGGTTAAAAAGAGGAATTTCCAATTTAAGAGAGCGCTGTTTCTACTACTTCAGATGCATGAAAGCGGGAATTTATAGCTTGGTAATAGGGGCATATAAATTTTGATTTAAAGCGACTTGCAGGCAGGGATACAAGGAGTTTTTTGTTTGGCTGGGTTTTGCGCCAACCTTTTTGGCACAAAGATATTCTTCATAATACAGGTAAACGTTAATTAGAAGAAATAATTCCCAACACAAAATCCAAGTAGATTAACAAACTCTAAAGTGTTCATGAGCACCCAAAATTAAATTTAATCATCCCAAAACTGGTCTTGTTTGTTTCATTTCAAAAGGAGCATTAAATTTTCAGTCTTTCAATTCATAATGTGGGCTACTGAGCCCTGGTGCCCATTGATCCCAGGAGTGGATGACCCATCCCACGCTCGTCCCAGCAGGTCTCCTGAGGGCTCTAGATGGGGCTGACCCTCCACCCTCACACCCGCAGCCGAGAGCCGGGACCCAGCACCCGTGTGGGACACACCACGCGTGCGGTGGCTTCTCCGCTTCG